CATTTTCACAATAGACATTTATATACCGTTCGACAGCCCTTTGAAAGAGCTACATTTTGCCCTATTTCTATCTGAAAAAGGAAAAACTTCGATTTTCTGCCTAATGTCTGGCTGTATGCCCACTGTGTGGTTCATTCGAAATTGATGGACGTTTATTATTTCCTATGAAAAATGTTTCCATACAAATACATATGTTGAGTATATAACCTACAGTTTCCTCTGTTTTTCTTATCGTGTTCTTAAAAGTATTTATTATGATAGCTGTTCTTATTCTTAACTACTTATATTCTATCAAACGTAAGACAAATGAGACAGATGCCAGTCACACATACACATACAGTGTGTCCCAAAAGTCCCTTGTGGAAAATATTTTTGAATTACTCCTCTGTTTTATTGAACTTAATCAATATTATTTTTTCATATGATGCATATCACCGTCAAGTTTTTATTGATATGAAAAAAGCCTACAAATATTGCTCAAAGGTATCATCTTGGACAGAAATACAAAAATCTATTCTTTTGCGGATTTCCGAAAAAACATTGCACAATGTTTCTGTTTTTATCGCTTTGATTTCTCGAATTATTCTCGTCTTTAATTCATCAATATCTTGTACTCTCGTTTTTATAAATGTTCGTTTTGACATGACCCCATAAATAGAAATCCAACGGGGTGAGGTCTGGTGATCTCGGAGTCCACGAAACGGGTCCACCTCTTCCAATCCATCGACCAGGGAGCTTGTTGTTGAGCCACGAACGAACTGCCTTTCAGAAATGTACCGGGGCACCATCTGTTGGAAAATTACCTCTTTTGTCATCCGTTTCTGTTTGTAAGATCGGATAGAAATATCCTTCAAGCATGTCAAGGTAAGGGCTATAATTTATTAAAAGATGTAGCTAAAAGTACATCTTTCAAATGCAGTTCTTGCATAGTCTTCTATGAGGTCATGTCAAAACGAACATTTATAAAAACGAGAGTACAAGATACATACATTCTTTTTACATATATTACTTATATATTCTTTTACATTACATTCTTTTTCTTTTTCACAGAAAGACACGAGTACTTCATGTCAATTCCATTTTTGGTCTCGAATCGAGTTGAGTTAGATGAGTGTGAGTTAGTGAAAATAGTGGAGGCGGATTACTGTCAGTAATCACTTATATTTTTGTTGTATGCTCTTATTCTCAAACTGTCGTAAAAATAGTGAAAACCGTTCGGAAACTAGGCTTTTCCAGTTTAAAAACCTAAATCTGTGAATATGTGGAGATAAAAAGATAAATATTTACATTTCAGAAAGTTTCTCGCCTACCAGGGATGAAAGGTTTTTAAATTCGTTTGGCACAATATGAAGGAAACAAACTTCTAGTATAGGCATCATTGAAAATTTAATAGGGGCTTTTAGCTTGCACTTGGAATTTTTGACGAATGATAACAAAATAGGCTGTAATGTCGGATAGAAAGGAAAAATTTTGGTTGACATCAGTGACTGTATACTAGAAAACCAGCTTTCGAGAAAGACTTTTTTACTCATACCTATTGAAAAGTCATCTACATTGACAGAATGATGAATCTCCTAAAAAAATTCATACGTTTGTTTTTCTGAGTTTCTTACCATTCACGATCGAAAAAATTTCAAACGTCGCTCACTCTTCTATAATTTACTTTCTGTATAACGGAAGCGAAAATCTTGTAAACACGAAATTTTCCGGGAAAACAGTCAAAATATTCCGTTGAAGAGCGTCATAGACAGCTGGAAGATATCTTACTTTGCTCAGAATTCTTTACTCTATAAGACTGTATGATTTGCAAAAGTTCTGACCAAAACCAAATACTTGGTTTTTTAGCCTTGAGATTTTTCAGAAATTCTATTATCAAGTTTTCTCATAAAATGGCAAAATACACTTCATCTAATAGAAAAATGTTCGGACTATTGAAATTAGTATTCAGATTGGTTCCAGCTTTTACTGGAAAAAACAAAGGATTTTGATTATGAAACACTACTGCATATATAACACTCGAACGCTTCGCTTGCATATCTTTGATGACTGAACGCACCTGTCTAGATACTCTAACTAGCTCAAATTGTAGAGAATTTGAAGGGCTATCGAACGGTATAAGTTTTCTATACAGATATATACCACATGCGGATCGCTCGTTGTCATCGACTTTCGATGAAAATTTGTCTCTACCAAACTAAATATCACCAAACTTTTGATAATGGTTCTATATAGTACACTGTGAGTTCTGTCCATTGTAACTAGTCTCACTTCATTGTAGATACAAACCTCGGAGAATTATACGTCACAAAAGTGTGACTTAGAATTCCGTTTTGTCCTTATGGCAACGTGATGGATGAAAGAGATACGTAATATTTGTATGTTATTATGTAGTATACATTGAGTACTATATACCTCGATAAAATCATGGTTCCATCTCTTATAGTTCTCCACAAATCGAGAATTTACGTTTTTTTCTTAGGTAAGTTCTCGAATTTGACTCTTCCAGAAAAAATCGTATGTATCAGGAAGGAAGGGCTAAAAGCTTGGATTTGTAGGTTTTCACGCATGTTCCACACAGTGGAAGTGGGTTGAAAAAATCCGAAATGATCATTGAACATGCTTCTATGGGAAGCAGGCGTTTTTCTCATGCAATCACTCCTAGAGGGAAGACCAGACGTATATATACGCCTCACATCCTCAAGGGGTTAGTAGAAGAAGACAGTCATAATGATAAGAAACAACGTAAAATATAAAAGTTACAACTATCACAGAAGCTAAATTTTGAAAGACAAATGAGATAGAAAAATTCATTAATGTAATAGACGAGATGGAACCGACGAAGAAAGTTTGCTGTCATCTTCGTTCCTGATTTGAAGATCTTTCTTTTTATTTGCAGTGGAAAGTTCAATTGCTTTTTGAATTGACCAGATTGCAAGAGCCCGCATATATCCAACCTAAAACGATTGCAGTTGTTGAAGGAAAATTGCAGGAAAAGCGAGAAAAAAGAGTGAAAAGTAGCAGAACTCCAATACCCCATTCCATATTTTTTTAATGTTTAATACTTTTCTACTTACGAGGAAAGGTCCCCAGATGTGCAATCGCTTTTTGCTTGAAATCTAGTGGAAAATAGGTAATCGACTGCGCTAAATCCGAATCTGATATCGGTTTGTGCTGCTAGGCCTCCAGAGACCGAGTTTCTGAAAAACCAGGTTTTCAGAAATTCTAAGAAAATAGCCAAAACTTTTCTTAATGAGCCATGATTGTAGACCGCAAATTTCTGATCAAAATGAGACATCTCTCAGCTCTGCATGATCTTTCTTTACAAAGTTATAGAAGTTACAAGAATAGCTCTAAATTAATTTTTTCTTATTTCTGCAGCTTTGCGTTGACAATGAACATTTAGGGCTTTTCGTGTGAATTCCATAACTTTGCAAAGAAAGGTCGTGTAGAGCTGAGAGATATCTCATTTTGATCAGAAATTTGCGGTCTACAATCATGGCTCATTAAGAAAGGTTTTGGTTATTTTTTAGAATTTCTGAAAACGTGGTTTTCCAGAAACCCGGTCCTTGGAGGCCTAGCAGCACACATTGATGTCAGATTCGGATTTAGCGCAGTCGATTACCTATTTTCCACTAGATTTCACGCAAAAAGCGATTGCACACTTGGGGACCTTTCATCGTTAGACTATTTGATTAAGACACGTTTTATGTAACTAGTTCAAATATTTCCTTCACATGTCAACAATTTTAATTTATCTTTGAATGATTCCTCTTACCGATCGAAATCGTCCGTCATGCATTAACGCTTCCGGCGTCTGAAACGCGAGACCAACCACATTGTAACATGTATTGTATATACCTTCGGATGTTAGAAATGCTTCGTTAACAAGATTCTAAAACAATAAAAAAATGTTAAATTAGGAAATGCTTACATTTTACGCTAACTCAATAGACAATCATTTCGTAAGAACTAAGTCGATGCTACAGCAATTACTCAATCGGGTCCTTCATACTTAAAGTATATGCGTAACTTCAAGATCATACTAGACGTAGAATAAAGGACGTAAGTTTCTGTTCTGGAGTGACAGAAGTCTACTATGACTTATCACGCCCATAGTCTATGTAATGAAATGCACTCGAATGTCTTACTTCCATAATCATTGTGGCACTTAAACCATAAGTAACACCGGTCCATATTTCTTCTGACTGCATGCTTGCTGTTTCGATCTGACCATCTTTCGTCGTACCATTTACTGCGCCAATCAATCCATTTCCAACACCCATTACATTCGTCTTAAATATTGTCTCGAGACTGCTTAATACTTTATCCTTTTCAAAGTCCTACAATATTGGAAAGTAATTGTCTACTAGTAGTTCTTAGCGAGTGATTAAGTAATTGTCTACTATAAATATCTAATTCAAACAACAGCAGTCTATTTTTACCTCATAATGATGTCCGCATAATCGAAGATACCAAAATCCGGCCAGTTGATCTGTCATAATGCTATCGTGATATCTCGATGTGCTACTATCATAGTCATAATATTTTCCTTTTGATTACAGCAAAAGCAAAATATTGACAAAACAAAAAATTCAAATAAGCACACTGTTTCCTCTCTTACCGTTCCACAGTTTATCATTATACGACTGTTTAGCTTTGCTTAGCCATGCTTCGTATTCATTAGCCGCATTTTGATCGTTCATTATACAGGCCATTTCAAAAGCAGCTCGTAGAGCAGCAATGTGTAAGCCACCACAGTAAGCACTAAAAAAATGAATATGAAAAGTTAGTATCGACAAAAAAAAGAATTATACAGCAAATGAGAGAAATTAACTACCTTGCTCCAGTAGCTTTCCATGCATCGTAAGTCTGGTCTGCAAAGCCACCGTTGTCTATTATTCCATCATTATCCGTGTCCTGTGACTTGACTTTATCCGTTGCTAACTAGAATAAAAACTAAAAGATGATGATTATTAAGAAATAATACATTAATACTTTACAATAAAGGCCTTTGTTTCCTCCGTCTCTTAGCGTGATCAATCCCTTCATTCTTCAAACGTACTTTGATAGTTGGCCACAGATCGATTAGAAACTGTTTATTATTTGTGTAAATATAATCACGATAAATTTGTAGTATATATTTGATATTCAAGTCTTTCCAAGTTCCAGTATCATGTGCAATATAAGCATTATAGACCAGCCATGGCTCTTCGTCTTTAAAATATATATAAAAATAAGCTCATATCTGTGAAGGAAAAATGTGTGGTCAGACTACAATTCGAGTCCAGGACCTTGATATTCCGTGTCTACGCTCTAACCACTGAGCCCTTTGGTCAACGCCTCCATCCGTCACATCACTCCCCCTCCCAGATGCCAACACGTCATCGTGCAGCTCAGGTTCATTGACCACTGGAGATGTTATACACAGCGCCACCCGCGCCCTAGACAAAATGTTTTTGATAAAACTGATAAGATTCTGATCGAAATCTTACCAGTTTCTTATATAAGATTGTTTAAAATTTTCCATCGACAATCGTAAGTGTGTTATAAGATTTTCATATGAGCTTCTTAAGAAATTTATAAGGAGTACCAAAAATTCTCATGTTATTCTTATTTACTAAAAGGCAGCTTATGAGTTGGTTTTGCTGATTTCTGTTATGATTAAGTTGCTTCTATTGGCTGGAAAACTTCGTTAGAGTTTTGGTCCCTACTTATGAATTTCTACGATCCTCTTATGAAAATCTTAAAAGACACTTGCGACTGTCGACGGGAAATGTTAAACAATCTTATATAAGAAACTGATAGGATTCGGATAAGAATCTTGTAATTCACTGGTAAGAGACTTAGACGTTCCTGATAGGATTCTTATATAAGAATCGATGTCTAGGGCGTAGGTATGCACCAGTACCGGTACCGGTACCAGTAAAAGTGCTCCACAAAAGTTTAAGATCTTTTTTGTTTTTGCAATAACGCAACTTCCTTGATAGATACAGACTCCGTTCTTTCGTCAAAAGAAAGCCTACGTTGAGTATTATAAACCCTGAGAAAATGGTTAAGTTCCGGCTTAATTTGACTGAGCTAAAGCAAAAACGCGGTGTTTTACACAATTGGAAAATCTTACTTCC